ACAATCGCAAAAAAAGCGAGCGATTTTACCCGCAAAACGGGCGCAAACTCCCGCCAAACGGGCGCAAAACCCAGCAAACACGCGCAAACCGGGATTTCTGAACAATTGCTCGTTTCATGTTTGCATGTTTTTCACAGGTTGCCTGATTGCTAGTCAGGCAGATTGGTTTGCTCTCTGTAAAGGTTCGAAGCAGCATGGCCTTGCGGGGAGAGTCTTGCATGTCCCTTGACCACGGTCTCACCATGATTGCTGAGCAATACCGACATGGCAACACCATGGAGCTGGATGATGAGATTGCCGATTCTAGGCATGGATTATTAATTGCACACCTGCAGGCATGCTCTTGCCATGTGCATGGTTCTGCTAGAAAACCATATGGGGTAATTATCCAAGGAGGCAACAAGGGAGATTCTCATGCTACAGCGGGACTTGGCGCCCTATGATGGAACTGATGAGGATGCTGTGACAGGACTGTGGTTATAGGACATGCATGGATAGGATTTGGGTGTCACCTCAACTGCGACTGTCTTAGCAGGACTTGGCGCTGTTCATGCTGCGGCGATCAGTGGTGCATTCATGCCGGGCATGGGGCACTCAGGAAATGCCAATGCGGCTTTGCCACCCAAGCCTGAGCATGTGACTCTAGCGCCAGGGCCAGACTGCCCTTCCTGTACTACCACTGAGCTACTATCCCCGATAAAGCCACCTCCTCAGATCAGAAATCCTGCATCCCCTGCTGTGTCCACTACTTCTTCTTCGAAGTCGATGTACCAAGATGGTACCTACTGGAAGCCACTGGTCGGCGATTATAGTTTTAATACATACTACACCAAATGATAGCTGTCCAGGTTAATGGTTGATCCCATTTGTGCGGCCAAGCTTCCAAGGATGAACCGGTATTTCACGCCGAACAAGAAGGGTGAGCTTAAATGCTCAGAGCAGGCGATGGCCATGTTCAAAGATCCCAAGGGACGAACCTTGTCGAGCATTGCAGATTCTGGCTTGTGCGCTTGTGTTTTGATTTGATATTGCCGAACTCAGGTGAAAAACTTCGAGACATGTTGCTCCAGCACGGTAACTTCAGCCAGGTTGAGATTGAGTTGACGAAGATATCTACGCAAACACAAATCAATGATGAAGAAGGGGCTTGGGAGAATGAGGTGTCCTTGGCACAGGAAGGCTGGACTGAGTAGCCTAGTTGCAACACTCTTGGGCTTCTAACCTATGCTTGTTCTAGAACTTATTGAGCCTCTTGCGTACATGCATGTTTCTTAGGCCCATGATCAATAATGCCAGACGATGGGCAGCGGCAAGGGGCCTAACAAGGACAAATGAGGTCCATGGCCTTGAGGAATTCAAGATTCCCAAGAAGGAGAAGTATTTGTTCCGGAACGAGTCTTCGCAGAGCTCTTCCCAGAAAAGCTCGTTTGTGGTGCAGGTGGGGTAGGAAAGTTACAGAATCCTAAAGTAGAAATTCAAATTAATTATAAAAAAGCTAAACCTGTATCCCCAAGTAGTACTTATAGAATCTATGGAAACCTTGGCTGCTCAACACCTTGACTCTCTAATTTTCCCATTCACTTTGTTCTGGTTGAGTCCTACCTGCAAACTGTTTCAGGATGCGAGTGGAAGCCTGCTTTCGGATACGGTTACACGCCAGCAGGCCCTGCAGAAACTTGGCCCTTCGATCTATTCCTCAGCCAGATTTTTCAATTAATGTTGATCCCACAAATATAAGGACCGGTGCATGGACTCAAAACCAAGTCGATCATGCCCGCGTTGCATGTGCTACCACGGCCAGCTCGGCCAAAGAGAGGTGCTTGCCAGTGCTCCAAGCGAATCAGGATGTGTTCAGCTGCTTGCTTCAACCTTTAACTTGTATTTCCAAGCTACGATCTATTAACTAGTATGTTATGCTAGAATACTCCGAATGTGTTTGAAAGGTGTCCTGGCAACGTATATTGACCTGGTTGGCAAGAAGGTGGACAAAGCTACTGATTTGCAGGAGTGCTTTGGGAATGTTGCAGTTATATGATAGCACTTCAAATGTAAAATGCGAGAGAGAGAGAGGACCAGTTGCTTGGCAGTGGCAACTCACGACCCAAGCAGCACCTTGTATGCAAACCATGCACCATATGCCTTGAGGTTTTGGGGTGACATAGTTGCAACGATGTATGCTTGTACTCAAGGATTGGGCAGGAGATGATGCCGAAGACTTCGGAACTTGAGAATGCCTACAAGGAACTCCTTCGATTTCAGACTGATGCCGTCTTGGACGCTGGCACGCCACCCTCAAGGATTAGAACTTTGATCTCCCTGAACACGCATTGTATGATTTTGACCTGATGTTGTCTGCCCATCTGAAGGACTGTCAAAGAGAATCTCTTGAAGTGTTATGCCCACTGCACCCGCCTGGACTTGGCACTGAATGCCTTGATGATTAGGGGCAGGCCTGTAACCTTTCATATGCCAAAAGGGACCGGTCTGATCCTATTATTGCATGATCCCTGTCAGGACCCAGATGAAATCAGTCCCGAAATCCTCCAAAGCAAAGGGCGGCAAAGCGGCCCCGAAGAAGCCAAGCAAAGCTGTTTCGAAGGCTGCCTCGAAAAAGAAGCGCCAGTAGGTGAGCGATTGAGTCGCTCAAGGGTTTGTTTTACGCCATCGTGGTAATGTCCATTGTCTACATCAAGCTGGAATGATCTTAATACATGTAGTATGTATATCAAAAGGACTTGACCATGGATGGAGAAGAATCATCAGTTTCGCATGTCAACACATGCGGCTACCAAAGGCCTGTGTGTACGTGTGCGAACTGTATGCATCTGCAAGGCTGTGCAGCGTAGTGCTTCTAGCTGAGGAGCAGGGAGAAAAATGTTTGACAGTTGGAGGTCAGCAAGTTGAATTGCAGCCTGTTGCGCATTGTATTGCAACAATCTTGAAAGCATCAGTATGCCTGATGGATGCCAGGCGATTCTTCTTTAAATGATGGCATTTTGCAACGCTTCGGGGGTGGCAGCTCGGCTTGTGCTTGTGTGGTAAGTTAATGGGTTTATAAGGTTTAGGGCCTATTAAGTCAGCTATATTTGTGCTCCTTGCTTGCTGCTGCCTCTGCTGCTGCTGCTGCTGCTGCTGCTGCGCTACCACACTTTTAAAATGATTCTGATTTAGCGGATATGCACTTTCCTCCTCCTACTGTGGGCACTAAAAATGCGCTAGTACCATACATACTCGCCAGTAAATTATATTATAACAATCTCAATTCTACCGTATGTGGTTCCAAGCTAAAACTAAGCCCAAGCTGCCAATGCTATTGGTGTAATATATATATATTAACGATTACTAGTACTCGTCCCTGCAGTATATACATATATCTCCCCTGTAATTAATGGATTCCAGCCTATATAGATTATTTTGAAACCTGAATTGATGGCACTGGGCAAGCCTAGCACCTCGGAGAACCAAGCTGGAATACCCAACGAAGTCAATCGCAACCCTCCTACACCTGAGAATCCTGCAGGTGTACAGTTCAGGGTTTAGGGTTTATATTCATATTATACTAGTACTGCATATGCCCCATACTATACATGCATGGTATACTATTAGTTGCTATTGCCATCACAGGTTTTCGGGTGTTGGGTTTAGGTGCTAATCCATTGGACTCTTCAACTTCTGACCCAAACCTCAAAACTTGAGCCTCACATCCCTAAAGCCCCAAATCCAAAAACTCACAAATTCCAACCTTAAACTCTGAAATCAAAGTTCCATGACCCTATTATAAGGTACTTGGATCCAAGCCCTAAACGTATAAACCTTGCATTCCAAGCTTTTCTGATCAATTAATACTAAGTATACATCATGGGACGGGAAACTCCAAGGACTCTTGCATGCATGGTCTTATTTGTTCACAAGAATTGACATTAATTTTAACAATTGCAGTATGAACTGGCTGGGGACCAGACATAGGACCTGGGATAATCCATTATGTATATCTTAGGGTTAGGTGGCCCTCATCATCCCCATGGCAATGGAAAGCGAATACGATGCATCCTCATAGTAGTGGTAGTGGTAGTGGCAGTGGTACTGTATACTGTGGTAGTGCTAGTAGCTAGTAGTAGCATTAAAAATTGTAGTCGTGGTCGTGGTGGTCGTGGTGGTGGTGGTGGTGGTGGTGGTGGTGGTGGTGGTGGTGGTGGTGGTATCTGGTAATTGTGGTAGATTTGGTAGATTTGGTATACTAGCTTAAGAAAGAGAAAAAGATACTGTATTCCATAGACCTGAAACCCAGACCCATGGGCAATTTGATAGGTGCTTCCCGACATTGTGGAAATTGGGTCGGTGGTGGTACTAGCATAGTAATAATAAAGTAGAAGTATAGTAGTAGTAATAATAATAATAATAGTAGTAGTTCTACGGTGACCTCTATGCCTGAATTGATCCCTGGCACCTGAGACCTGAGAACCTGAAACTCCCCAAAACCCTAGTTCCCTGCTGCTCAGGTGAATGCAGTCGACGCCAAGAAGATGATGGATTGGACCTGGAAATTTCCGAAGAGATTCTATCAAAATATTACAGTGGAGTTCCTTAGCCGCATTGTGGAATTGTATGCAGCCCCTTCGTGCCCTACACATATAGGCTATCTATATATATATATATACATATAGCCCTGAATTGTAGTCTAGCTTTTTGGAGGGGGAAGGGCGTTGCATGCGTGGTTTAGGGAAACCACATTATTTGTAGCCTGGCTTATGGATCTTCAAAGCTAAGGGGGAGTCTGCAAAGGGTGCCTCGCACATGGCCAATTTGGTGTGTAAGGTTGGTGGCGGCCGATACCTAGCTTGCAATAAATATGTGATCCCAGGTTTAGGTCTTTAGGGTTTAGGGTTAAGGGGCAGTGTTTGCAATTTCAGGAGATCTGAACATTCTTTGGAAGATTGCAGCCGCTGGACGATCCCCAGCCAATGTATGCAGAAACCTACACCGTCTTATTCACCGTGAAGGAATGACAATCCCTGTCAAAATTGACATGGTTCAAATTCCTGTTCGCAAGAGGCGCCCTACTGTGAAGAAGGTCATGGTATGGTTTCCAGTCATCTATCCGAGTACTTGGGTGTCTTTCCTACTGAGGGAGCACAGCGATCTCTTGCTGGGCGGGCGGCACTTAAATCAAACTTCCTTGTGGGAGGATTTGCTGGACAATTTCTGGTCTAGGTACAAAGCCTATGATGCTGGCCATCCGATGAATGGTGCAATGGCGCCTCCTGCGAAAAGAACAATCCCTCTGTATCTGCACGGGGACGAGGGCCGCGGGAAGTACAAGCTTCCTATAATGGTAGAGGCGTTTCAGCCATGCATCTCCTTCAGGGGGACAGCCTACAAGAACAGCAGTGGGCCTCTTCCCAACAAGTTTACACATTATCCTTCCCAGAATATTTTCTTCTAGGTTTTTCAAGTGTTTCTTTTCGATACCACCCATCTCCCTCAAATTAGGTGATGACAACCACAGGGTATAGGCTGGAATCTATAATGGGTCAAAGTCCCCCCGTTAAGGCATCCAAAGCTTGCCCAACATGTCTATTAGCCTGTACTCTTGATCTATACCTTGCCCTCACAAATGACGGAATTCCTCTGGGAACCTTTTGGTGTAAGGGATATACGAGATTAAAATCTGAGGCACACGTTCTGCACGAGATTCTTATTTTGCGTGCTACCAGCTGAACTTTATTGGGGTGATGCAACACTTGATGCGCTGAATCAAGCGCTGGCTACTGATCTTTGCAACCTGTACTACCATGGAATCCAGGTTCTCAGCTCGCAGCGAATATCATCTCATCGTATTCGTGTGCTCCATGTTTCGACCTGAAGCTAGTGTGTCCAAGGTTACCATTGAGGGGGAGGAGGTGACATTGCATTTTGCAATGTTGGGTGTCAAGGGCGACTGGGTCTACTTGCGGAAGGCGGGAATCGTATGACTGCCAGTTTGCAGTAACAGAGCTAGCTTAATCTAAGGCAATGGCCCTGGCTACTGGATGGCAATGCAATCGCAAGTGCCATTTATGTTCGAGTGATGATGCCTGCTGTAAAGCAGAATTTTTTTTATAGATTATACATGCGCTTATATTATAGATATAGAATCCCAACTATGTAGGTTGAGTATTGCCCTCTTAAGATCCAACTAGCATAGAATGCATCTAAGGATTGGTTTGACTTCTCCAGCACAGCCCCCTGGCGTTTCAACGAAAGCCCGAGTCCCTTCAAGCAAAGAGCCTCCCCTTTGTCCCAAGTGCCTGGGCTTGAGAACCCAGCCAGTGCACTGGTTGATTCGGCTCATACATGGCACATTGGGTTACTGGCTTGCATCACGCAGGTTTTGATTTGGGAGTGATGAGTTAACTTTAAACAAATTAAAAAACAAATTCTACCTGAACCTGTTTGTGTAAGTAGGCATCCTACATGAATTGCGAAGTAATTAGGTTGTGGGGGCCTATACAGGTTGAGGGGGACCTATCAAGTAATATGCTAGAACTTTAAGTCCAAGGTTTGCATGATCAATTAGGCGAATTCCCCTTCAAAAAATCATCAAATCTTCTACCCTAACTTTTTGACATGAGGTGTGGCCGCGACTTTGTGACCTCTGGACTAGTCCTCTTGTGTCAACTGAAGTTGGTGCCTGGCAGAGCCCCTCAATCCCGACTTTCCAATGCCTATGCAGACTTTGTAGAATGGTGCGCAAAGTGCCATAAATCCACGAACATTCGGGGCTTCACGAAGTCTGGGTTCAAGATGGGAACGAATCTGGACTGCGTATAATATTTATGTATATTATATTATAATACAACCTAAATGGGAACACTTATTAATGTGAATGAAATTTGCAACCTGTCACTGGCCCCTGTCCTAAGGAAGACAACAGATTATCCTACTGCAACTGGTGGGCGTGGGGCAGACACAGCCCTTATGACATCATGGCTTGAAGACCTTCTTTTGCGGGTTGATCCTAGGCAATATTTGAAATTGAGGTTGTTGGAGCACTAGTGGATCTGTATGATACTGGTTTTCAACTTCCTAGCAGGCTTAGAGCATAGCAGGGTTTACGATTTTCAGCTCCTATGCTGCCTGAGGACTCTGATGATGAACTTTTCGTCATGCTGAAGTACACAGTACAGTGTGCCAATATTTACTTTCGTTTGCTACATCACAGTGGACTCTGGTTGAGTCCTCGCATTTCTTTGCGGGCGGCGCGAGCATGTGATGAGCTGTGTGACACCTTGTTCCAATCAATATTACAGGGTAATCTGAAAGTCCCTCAAATGAATAATTGTCTTCGCCTTAAGACTTTAGTTTCTTGCAAATAAGGAAGGCTACATATGCCTTGCAAAAGTGTGTCGAGCCAGAGGATATCGGCTCTTTCGAGTGCGCCCGAAACTTCACATGCAACTGCATTTCGCGTTACTGGGCTTAGTTCAGGATGTTTTGCAACCATGCTAGAAAAATCAAAATATAAACCCTAAACCCTAGCTAAACCCTTGTCCAGCTTGATCGAGGCTGAAGCTCCATGCTGGTGCCCAACGAGGGATCTACAGCCCAAATCCTATGAGCTCGCTGGCTGAAATGATTAATCTTTTGGTGTCCATAACACATAGGCCATAAAATTTCAGGTCTTAAAATCGATCAGTTCCATTCTCATAGTGGGCGCTGGCTCATGGTCTTTCGTGAGCATGAAGATCATGAGCATCATTTGCATCAGCAGGGCAAGGGGTAGGGGCAAGAACGAGCAATTCTATTCCAAGCGAGCGAATATTCCCAAAACGAGCCTAAACCCTGAAAAGCGATACTATTCTTGATGGGGCCCACAATTCGTATACAAAAGTAGGGTCGAGCAAGAATTTGTTATACAAAGGATGGTCCAGGAAGATCCCTAAAAAAGATGGTAGTTGGAGGGCGCCTAAATCCTGAACCCCAAACCCCAACTAAAGCGCAATCAATGGCACCAAAAGAGCCAAACGAGCACTATCTCTACTTGCGCGTGCCATGCCGCCTTGTTCAAGAGAGGTATGTAGAATTGTTGGGAAATCCAACGTCCAACATGATCGATGCTAGCCGAAGTGTTCTTTCTGGATCCTCTTCAAGGAATCCAAGAGAACGTAAGTGTCTCGCCCCAAGATCTCGAGCCCTATAAGTCCCAAACCATAGGCAGTGTAGACGCAGAGGTTTCCTGCGGCTTACTCATGCTCATCTGGGAATGGGGGAGCGGATTCTATCGACACTTGCAGGGTGGAGGAGTGATACATGGCATACACAAGAGATTAATGTTCCCCTGTTCAGGATTTGGGTTTAGGCTTCAGGGCATCCAAGCAGCTAAGCATGAGTACGGCAAAGAGCTGCATCCTGACCCTAAACCCTAAACCCTAAACCTTAAACCTTAAACCTTAAACCTTAAACCCTAAACCCTAAACCCTAAGAGCTGCATCCTGATCCTAAATCCTCAAATTCTGGTAGCGCAGAGCCTTGCGAGGCCCAGCTGAGTTGTTGTCCAGCTCGATCTGCCAAAATGCTGTTTAGGGCTATGGGTTAGGGTTTAGGGTTTAGGGCTTAGGGCTTAGGGTTTAGGGTTTAGGGCTTTGGGTTTAGGGTTTAGGGCTTAGAATTGTAAGGCAGGGGGTCCATGCGTCTATATGGTGTGTTTGGGCACCAGAACCAGCGAGGCTGATGGACAACATCTTACGGGATCCTTGGGTTGAGGAGGTGGTTGTAAGGGATTTAGAGTCAGGGTTCAGGGCTTAGGGTTAAGGGTTTAGGGCCAGCATTCCAAATAATTACAGAGAGTCATGCAGGATTTTGACTATCAACCGTGTTGCACGGTAAGTTTTTACAACTTAAACTCCCTTTGAGCCATCCACGGTATCAAGGCCCGTCACCCAGTGGATGGAGATTTCTCCAACCAAGGGTACTATTCGGGATTGTGGCGACTGTCGCAGGTTGTAGGATCAGAGGGGTCCCTCATGGATTAATCACGTGTACTTGCAAGAAGCCTATAAATTAACTCGAAACCCTTTACCCTCAACGCGAATTGCTACACCCTAAACTCTGATTAGGAGACGCTACACTCTACCTGAACCCTGGATGTCCCACCTATTGGGGGACATACCCTATAAAGGCATACCAACAAAGCCCACAAGGAAGGACTTTCAGGGTCAAGCCCGTGATTTATTCACAGCTTCTAACCCTAAACCCTAAACCCCTAAACGCCCTTACGGTCAGCTCGCCTCCGCATCAAGCCCGCAGTCGTACCTCGGCCTCAGTCTGGGCTGCCGTTTAGGAACTTAATCTAAGTTACCATATGGGCTATAGTCTAAACTCCTTAAAAGGGGGTTATATAGGGGAATATACAGGAGACTACTATAGTGGTCAGTAAGGAGTATACTAGAAGTTTAGACTTTTGCTCTTATGATGGGTTTTTTCGCGGATAATAGGGCTTCATTATCGTAGTAATTTCGTTCCATCTTCCCTAACAGCAATCCAACAATTGACTTGTCCGTTCGGGGTTCCTTGTTATCAGGAATAGGGCTCTGCTGATACGTGTTTGGGGTCGATGCAAGAAACCCCGGTTTTCGGTTTCCCTTCCCCGTTTACCTGTTGATGAAACATTGTGTGTGGCGGTTCAGAGGTAGCGGGACGGGAGCTAAGTGGAACATTTTTGCTATAACTTGTCGGACTATATAAGCATGGGGGGTGCGCTTTACCCTAGCAAGATCTGCAGACATAATTGTATGGGCAGTTCATCAGAATCTTGGCTGTCAGTTGTATGGACTGTCAGGAGAGGTATACACAAGGTGTGTGGTAGGTATGCCACTGTCACCGAGGACCAAGCAGTAACCAACGATAACGCAGCTTCCTGATTATTCACGAGGCTTGGGGTCGGGGAGTGTATCATGGGATGTCATCTACTATAATTATAGAAGCGTAAGTTATCCGTATGAACTGCCGTGCATACTAAAAATCCTCCATCACCCTGAGTACCTTATGCCGTAGGAATTTTGGTCCTCGAGCATACTAAGGTCAGTCAGAATTCGAAGCATCAACAGTACCCCAAAAAAATGAAAGTGTCCATTTTTCCGTTTAACTCTCCATCATCGAGATAATCCCTGAACCCCAGATAATCATCGAATAACCTTATACAAGCTCTAAACCCGAAAACCTACGGTTTCGGGGCGTTGCATCGCATCCCTGGAGCTTGCAAGCTGACTGCTGAGCCTATACATCTCCTCTCGACGCTCTTCATCGAGAGAGTCCGAGCCTTCGCGGTTTAGGTTTTTTGGGGCTTAGGGTTTAGGGTTTGGTGGTTTAGGATTAAGAGTTTAACCCTAAACCCTAAGCCCTGAACCCTTAGGGCTATGGCTTAGGGCTTGGGCTTCCCAGCTTGCAGCTGCATTTTCCAAGTCCATGTGCAAGGACATTCCTCTTACCCTTAAATTGGGCTCAGATGCCCGTAAATAGCGGGCACTTAGGCCCTAATGGAATGTAGATGGAGGGTCTTGGTGGGAGGGTGCTAAAATTGCAGTCCCGCTTGGTTTCCCTAGTATAAGACAGCCCCTAGTGTTGATAATCCTTAGGAATTAAGGTTTAGGGCTTTGTATCTGGGAGCCTTCTTTTTTTGGGGGGGAACCCCAAACCCTAACACCCTAAACCCTTAACTCTAAACCCCTAACCCTAAGCCAAAACACCCTAAGCCCTAAACTGAAAACCCTAAACTCTAAAATCTGAGCCCTAAACCCCAAATCCTAAACCCAAAGCTTGGCAACCACAGCCTTCAGTCTCGGAGTAGCCGGCAGGGAAGAAAACAATCGAAGCTGTGGCCTGCCAAGGCCGAAAAAGTCCAAGTACCCAGGAATCAGCTAGCATACTATGGTTTAGGGTTTAGGGTGAAGCTTTTGAGGTGTAGGATTTAGGGTTTAGGGTTTGGGGTGAAGGATTTAGGGTTTAGGATTTAGCCTATATGGGTCCCAAAGTACTCAGGAACAGGGTAGGAATACCAGGGTTTAGGGTTTAGCCTATAAGGGCCTAAGTACGCAACATTTGAGAAGTATAGAGTTTACGCGTAATACACCAATAATGGCATCAAACGGAAAGGAGGATCTACAATGAAATGGAAACTGGGTTTATGTGGGGAGTAGCGTCGAACATTTCAGTGCTCGGGATGTGGGATTTGGTAGTACCAATTGAGCTTAGATGGGGGGGATCCATAACTAGGGACAATATCGGCCCCAAGATACTGCAATTCTCATGTGGGAGAATATCTGAAGACCTTAGGGCCGGAAGGTCTGCCTCAATACACCTCTCCACTGAAGTTTCCTGGCACTTCAGCTCCGAACTGTTATTATTAGT